CCATTTGTAGCACCATACAAAGGTCTTGAACGTCATATAGCAGCGGTTATAGTCTCATGTAACACCTGTTACACTCTAGAACATCATACTTGTTCGCTATAAAAGTATTAATGTTCTATATAAGTACCCTGAAAACTTACACTCAGAATGTTGGAACTGTTGTAGTTATAGACTTACCTAATAAGTAAACCATTATACTTAGCATGCAGACAACACAATAAACTAGTTATAAGTCGGTAGATACGGAATGTTGGAACATGTGAGCTCATCAAATTTATGTTGACGTATTTTCAAAACTCATGTATTTTCTGGAACGTAAAAGCGGGAAATGTTACAACAGTATGGACATTTTTGTTGTCAACTACTTTTGCAAATTTGTTCGTATGGAGACATCTAATTGTTGAGACATATATCATATTTTGGTTATAACAATGTACCAAAAGGAAAAGAACGATGTAACTCTAAATTAATATTTATAACGGTATGTATTTTGTACTATTCAATATATGTTAATAATTGTGGTCCAAAGATAAAGTCACACATCCCAGCATTTTCGCCACTAGCCTGGAGTCTGACAGATTGATATCATAGTCATGTTGAATATAGTGAACTAATACTTTCCCAGGAAAGCACAACTATAGTCTAGGGATTACTCTCTTAGGTTTAGGTATATCCTTTAACCTACAAGTTAAAACTATTATTAAGTATACTATTAAAGGACTAGTTACAGGAAGAATGGCAAGATAGATATGTTGATTGGGTTGTTGCATTTCAGAATGACTATATACTAAAATGACCATGCCTTCCAACCTTCCTGACTGGTCGGTGTCTTATCAACTAGACCTGAAGTAACAAACAATAAATAATAAAATATGTGAACACAACAAATATAAGATATAAAGTCATATATATATATATATATATATATAATATATATATATATATATATATATATATATATATATATATATATATATAGGGTTAGTTAATTCAAAATCCGAAAATAATATTTAAAAAAAGACTTTTTGGATTTTTCCATTTATTTTGCATTTTAAAATTATTTTTGAGAATATGTACAGTGTAATATTCTATTAGAATATTTCACGTATTTTTCAAAAAAAAAAGATTTTTTTTATTTTTTTTTATTTTTTTAGTTAATTCAAGTTCCGAAAATAATATTTAAAAAAAAAAAAAAGAATTTGTAGATTATTCCATTTATTTTGCATTTTAAAATTATTTTTTAGAATATGTAGAGTGTAATATTCTATTAGAATATTTCACGTATTTTTCAAAAAAAAAATGGGATTTTTTTTTATTTTTTTGTTAGTTAATTCAAGTTCCGAAAAAAATATTTAAAAAAATAATTTTTAGATTTTTTCATTTATTTTGCATTTTAAAATTATTTTTAGAATATGTCAGTGTAATATTCTATCAGAATATTTCACGTATTTTTCAAAAAAAAAAAAACGGGATTTTTTTTAGTTAATTCAAGTTCCGAAAATAATATTTAAAAAAAGAATTTTTGAATTTTTCCATTTATTTTGCATTTTAAAATTATTTTTAGATTTAGTCTCACGGAGAATCGAACCCATGCCAATCCAGGGAACCACTCACCACCAAAGGGAACGGAGAATCGAACCCATGCCAATCCGGGAAAGTCCCCCAAATGTGCTCAGCCAAGAGTAGAACTCTTGACCTCACCCATTGAGGCCTATAACCCAGGATGCATCACAACCAGCTAAGCTGGTGATCACTTGCTTGATATGTTTTAGAGATCAAAATGGGTTGTTGATGAACAATTGTTCCGATTGAATAGAAGAAATAAGAATTATTACATGGATACAATTAATAATGGATTGGGTGAAGGGAGAAATATGTCCTGGAACTGATGTATCTTCAATATTACTCTTGTTCAATCTTTCAAACTTTCTGGTTATTATTGGCTTCACTTGATGCCATTTAAGGATCTTTCAATTTATTTTAAATTTCATCTTTCTTATTATTC